AGGCCAGAGGCAGGAGACTGCACATGTGCCTGCTGTGCACCCTGAGACCAGCTCAGTTTCAGGACAGGGCTAGTCATATAGAGTCAGAAAGTCTCTAAGACAGAAGAACCACGTTATCTGAGATCCCTCCCAACAGGCTCTAAAGATCTTTGACCCACCAGGTTTGAGGAGAAGGGACTAATCATAGCTCCCAAAGAACATAAATAAGAGGCTATGGACTAAGAATATGCACAGTAGATATCACCATCCTCTTCCCCACCCCCATACCAGACTGCCTTCCTAAGCCAGAGAGAACAGGCCTGTGACCACAGGAAGTCATGGGGTATGATCCATTCAAGCCCACGGCAAGCTCATCTGACTGACTCTTTCTCAGCTCCTTTGTGTCCTACCCTCGGAATTACAGAACTCATTTAAGGACAAGGCATCTATGATTAACAGCAGAGGGTGAAAGGGAAGAGAAAACTGATGAAGCATCTGACATCAGAGGGAGAACTGAGAAACAACAGTGGGGAAAGACTGATCAGACTCCCAGACTGCCTGCACCTAAGGAGCAGGGAAAGTGGGAGGGGGTGTGGAAGGGAGACTAAGGGTTTAGCCAGAAGTGTAGTCGCAATGGTGAGAAAGCATGCATATTAGTAGGGAGAGGGGACGGGATCATTACCGAAAGGGGAGACCCACTCTTACTCCAGTTCCAGCGCTCAGAAAAGCATGAGCAGGGGCAGTGGGGTGGTAGCAGTGACGGGGTGAAGAACAATGTGATAACAGAAGAGGCCAAAGGAACGCAAGATAGGAAATTCTCATGCCAGGAAATCTGCACTGGTAGAGATAGGATTAATAATAAGGAAAAGAGATGGTAGAAAGGGAAAGGGAGGTAGAGACTGTTAACATGAGGGAGACAGTGGCTCTGAACAAGGGAACGGGGCAGGGACAAAGCTGCTTGGAAGGGAGGATCAAAGTACAGGACCCTGCGCTGGACCCCACAGAGAGGCCTGTGACTCCAGGGGGTGAGAGGGGTTAGTAACAAGAGGAGGTGCTAACTGCAAAGAAGGTGGTAGGTATAGCTCGTAAGCACCAAGCAGGACTGCAGGGGATGTGCTAAAAGAGTGAGGTCTCAACTGTCACTGGGAGGGGGGCAGGACAGGAATGGAATGACAGAGTTCCAGGAGGTCCTGGCCCTTGCAACTGGAAGAAGTGTTACTACAGGACGTAGCAGTAGAAGGTTGTGAGAGGAGCAGGAGGGTGTGATGATGGCAAATGCAGCCCAGGTCAGGGGGAGGAAACCGAATGGGAGCTGCCCTGGCCTGCCAGGAAGGGAAGCAGCTGGCAGAGTGTGGGGAAGGGTGAAAACTCCAGAAGAGAGGAGGATATGATATAGAGGGGATGGGGCTAGGGGGCTGGAGCATCTGAGCAGGGGCTAATTTGAAGTGGGGGAAGGTCTGCTAAGTCCCTGTCTCTGGATCCAACAGGGCAGCAGACGCCCTCCTAAAGGCAGTGGCAGCCAGCAGTGTCGCTGAGAAGGCTGTGGAGGCAGCTCGAATGGCCAAACTGATAGCCCAGGACCTGCAGCCCATGCTAGAGGCCCCAGGTGAGGCATGGGAGCTGGGGGGAGGGGAGTGAGGCCCCTAGGAAGCTAGAGAGACTCAGGTGTGGGGAAACAGATGAGAAGCCCTGCAAGGGAACCGGGGATGGGAAAAAACAAGGAATGAGGGTGCAAGGAACACAGGGTGGGGGCCAGACCTGGTAGTCTGGGGAGTGGGACTTGGGAATGTATGCAGTAGGTTAATGGGGGGTTTGGAGTCTGGCAGTGACAGGCTATGAGTCTGGGAATTCCAAAGTCCTGGGAAGTGCCCAGTCAGGAATAAAGCTGCAGCCACTCCAGCCCAAGGCCAGTTAGGCCCCTCTGATTCTCAGCTATCCCTACCCAGGCCGCAGACCCAGGCAGGACTCAGAAGGTTCCGACACGGAGCCCCTGGATGAGGACAGCCCTGGGGTGTATGAGAACGGACTGACTCCCTCAGAGGGATCCCCTGAACTGCCCAGCAGTCCTGCCTCCTCCCGCCAACCCTGGCGACCCCCTGCCTGCCGGAGCCCACTGCCTCCTGGAGGGGACCAGGGTCCCTTCTCCAGCCCCAAAGCTTGGCCTGAGGAGTGGGGGGGGCCAGGCACACAGGCAGAGGAACTAGCTGGCTATGAGGCTGAGGATGAGGCTGGGATGCAAGGGCCAGGGCCCAGAGACGGTTCCCCACTCCTTGGAGGCTGCAGCGACAGTTCAGGAAGTCTTCGAGAGGAGGAGGGGGAGGATGAAGAGCCCCTGCCCCTGCTGAGGGCCCCAGCAGGCACGGAGCCTGAGCCCATCGCTATGCTGGTCCTGAGGGGCTCGTCCTCGAGGGGTCCTGATGCTGGGTGCCTGACAGAAGAACTCGGGGAGCCTGCTGCAACCGAGAGGCCTGCCCAGCCGGTGAGATCCTCTGTCCCTGCTGTGTGTCCTCTTCTCCCAAAGCCTTGCCTCCCACCCTTTCCAGACCTGTCTGATCGCCAGGGGGCTTTTTATCTCCACTCGGCTTCCTCTGCCTGGCCAGTCTTGGACCACATCCCACCTCAAAAAAATAGAGGGTGCTCGAGCTGGAAGGAACCTTACACGCCTACAAGCCTACTCCCTCATTTGACAGATGGGGGAACTGAGGCCCAGAGCACTTAGAGTAACTTGCCCAGGGTTATAAACTAATAATCAATGGGAGAGCCAGAATATTTTTCCCCCGTTCTCCTTCCATATCATTTCCAGCTCTCAGTTTCCTACTCCACCCCCACCCCCACCTCCGCACTTTCTCTCTTTGGTGCCCAGAAATAAAAAAGGAAAAGATTGTTCCCTCCCTACCCTGACTCTCCCTCCCTCTCCTGGGAAGAAGTTGAAATAGGGAAGAAGGCAGAAAACTGGGAGAGGCGGAGTGTCCCCAGAACCCTCTACTCTGATTGGGCTCTAGGCCTTCTGTTTCCTAGCAACCACATCCTCACCCCTTCATCCCTCTGCGTTGCTGCAGTACTGGCTGCTGCTGCCAATGTCTGCTACTAAGGCCAGGCACCTCCTGCCTGGGACACATGATATGCTGATGGGAGGGGACTAGAGGGAGGAGGTGGAAGGGCTGTCCCTGTATTGAAGGTGCCAGAGGAAAGGTGGGGCCCTGCCTGGGAGAAGACAGGGTTTTGCAATCCAAAACAAATGTTGGCGATCCCCCTGCTCCAGGCTCTGCAGGGAGGTACCTGAGACCCTTCAGCTCTGCCACCTCAGCCAGGGCAGGAAGGTGGGCACTGTCCTTGGGGACTGAGTCTGCTTCCCCCTCTGTCTCTCTAGGGAGCTGCCAACCCCCTGGTGGTGGGAGCCGTGGCCCTCCTGGACCTCAGCCTGGCGTTCCTGTTCTCCCAGCTCCTCACCTGAGGCTACTTCCTGGCCTGGTTCTGGCTTTGGTTGCGTGCCTCTTCACCCCTTTGACCTGCCTTTTTTCTCTTCTCCTCTTCCTGGCTGTGTTTTTCCTATCTTTCTTTCTCTTCTTCCTTTCTTTTCTGTGCTCCTTTGTTTTTTTTCTCTCGCTTTCTCTTTCCCTCTCTTCTTTCAGATTATCTCATTTCTTCTGGATCTGTCTCTGTATTCCTCACTCCCTTCCCCATTCCAACCCCTTCTTTCTCTAGATTGTTTACATATGAAGGGCTTTTCTCTCTCAGAGTTGCTGTCTTCTCTGAGACACACAAATCTAAGTCAGACCATTGCCCCACGCCCTCCCACCTTTTCTTTAGACCTCAACTTCGATGCGGGTGGGGGTTTGGTGTCCTAAGGAGACTCCTGGAAGCTGAATGGAGAGGAGGAGGAGGAAGAAAATGAAGAAGGAGTGATTGAATGCCGGGCAAGGGACTGGCTGCGCTGCTGTGGCTCCCTAGCCTGAGGGGCCTGCTGTCCCTCTGAGGCCTAGTGAAAAAGCTGCAGGAGGTGCATCCTCCACCTGTAATCTTGGAGGCTATTAGCTCACCTCCAAGCACTGAGCTGGGTTCCTGCCCAATTCCATCCTTCCCTGAGGGAGAGAAGGGAAGTGAAAAGTAGAATAACTCCCTACCATTTCCCTCTTTTTCTCCTCATCAGCCAGCCCCTCCTCCAGCCCCCTCTGGTGGCATGCCATGCCAAGAGCAACGTGTAAAGGAACAGAGAATATCCAATGCAGTCAAGTCCACCCCGCCCAGACTTTGCCACTGCCTTCTCCCACCCTTCTGTCTCCCCCACAATAGTTTATTTGGTTGGTCTGGACTCACTTGTGGCCTTTGATTAAATTCCTAAGGGGCCTGAAGAAGACATTTCTACTGCAGAGGGTTAGAGGCACTTGAGCAAGGCCCCCACACCCCAACTCTGGGAGTTGTGGTCGGGGGAGGCACTTCTTGGGGATAGGACCAGACAAGATAACAGGAGCTCACAAGGAAGCAGAAGCTGTGACAAGTTTAGTAGTCTCAAAATGGGTTATGTCCCTTCCCCCTTCACATCAGAATCTTGTGAAATGGGAAAACAACAGAAGGAGGGGATCAAAGAAAGCTGATCTCACATGCTTCCCAGGCAGGGCAGAGGTGGGAGTCAAACCTGGGTGACAGGTGGGTGGAGAGCCCTGTTTGAGGGTGTGGCTGATCCCTCTCTGGTATTAGCTTTTCCCCTGGGAGCAGGAAGCCCTAGGAAGAGGGGACTGTAGGGTCCCCAGGGGATCTTTCCTCCCTCCCCTGCATGAGGCAGAGGCAAGCTGCCTGCCAACCCCCTCCCTCAAGGAATGGCCTTGCCCGGGAATGCCCACCACACATACCCTCTTTTTTTCTAGTCAAACTCTGTTTATTCCTTGGCTTGCCTCCCTCCTTCCTCCCCTCTCAACCTTTACTTCTGATTTCTATTTCATGGAATTTGGGATTGAAGTTAAACTACAACAGTGCCGCCAACACCAAGTCTTGCAGGAAAAAAATACAAAGAAATTTAACAAAAAAAAAATATATTAATAAAAAAGTTCAAAAAAGGGGGGGGATTGTCATCTCCTTTGGGGTGCGATGGCTTCAAATCCAAACTGAGGCTCTCCGGGTGGTGAGGATGTGCGAGGAGGCCTCTTGAAGAACTCCAGGCCTATCATGCTGTCTGTCCGCTAAAGCCTGAGGCTCGAGGTCAGAGGATTCAGGAAGGCTCTGCAGTCGGCCCAGGAGGGCGGGGTCCCGTGGTGGAGGCGGGGAGAGGGAAGGACCGCACGGATCACCAACCCCTGCTCGGCCCCGTACCAGGAAGCGCTGGGGGGCAGAGGAGCGGAGTTGAGGCAGAAGCCAGGTGAGGCTGGAGTCCTGGGGGTAGGCAGGCTGTCGCTGCCGCTGCCTGAGATGGAAATCGGGGGAGGAAGCTCGCGGAAGAAACAGCGGAGGGTCGTGGAAAGAAAGCAATGGCTGAGCTAGGGATGGGGTACCAGGTAGGGGGAGGAAACGGGAGAAATAGGTGGGGCTCCAGCGCATGCTCAATAGGAAGGGGCGCCGGTAGGGTGTCGACGCATGCGTAGTGGGCTTCTCGGGCGGTGGGGTGGTCGCGGAATTTGGAGACCTACTTCGGGAAAGGTAAAATGCGGGAGCAATTTTAGGGTACCTGTGGGACCTGGGCTCTTAGGGTCCTGACACAGGACGCGCCTGGGCCGAAAACCCAGGCACGCCCGGCCAGAGAGTGTTTCTTCACTCCCGGACTCTGCCAGTCAGAATGGTGGCGCCTTCGCTGAAGCTTCAGGACCTCATCGAAGAGATTCGCGGGGCCAAGACTCAGGCCCAGGAGCGGGAGGTGATCCAAAAGGAGTGCGCCCACATCCGGGCCTCCTTCCGCGATGGGGACCCAGTGCACAGGCACCGGCAGCTGGCCAAACTGCTCTACGTCCACATGTTGGGCTACCCCGCCCACTTTGGACAGGTACTGGCCAGGAATACCTCCCTCCTGAGCTTGATGAAGGCTAGTGGGGCAGAGTCACGGACTCTCTCACCTGTTTATGCGCTGGTTTTTAAAATTCTACAATTTCAGAGTCATCACAGGCTGCACTGCAAACCTCTTTCCCCATTGCTACCCCTACTGGTCATCAGCTGGCCTGAACCCTTCATTCTCTGGCCAGCCTCGTTTAGGGCAGGCACCTCCTCCTTTCCTCTCCCATCCTCCTCAACTCCTAGTTCCTCCTACCCACTAACGCCTGAATTTCCTAAGCTTCTCCTCTTGTTGAAGGGAGAGTGATGAGATAGGATGCCCCACAGGTTAATCTGGTTTTAAAGAGGAAGATGAAACAGGGATGTGAGTGTCTATGGTTTCACCCCTGCCTCTTCCTGGTTTGCCCCCTTGACTATAGATGGAGTGCCTGAAACTGATCGCCTCCTCCAGATTCACAGACAAGAGGGTGGGCTACCTGGGGGCCATGCTTCTATTGGATGAGAGGCACGATGCCCACCTGCTCATTACCAACAGCATCAAGAAGTGAGAGGGTTCTGGCAATCACTTGGAATCAGGGAGATGGGAGAGTAGGGACCTTGGAAATCCCAGGGGACTGCCTGTTGTGGGTATTGAAAAGGACTGATTTTCTCAGAGGTTTGACTGACCGTCCTCCCAAACCCTGCAGTGACCTGAGCCAGGGGATTCAGCCAGTACAAGGCCTGGCCTTGTGCACTTTGAGCACCATGGGCTCTGCTGAGATGTGCCGAGACCTGGCCCCAGAGGTGGAGAAACTGCTCCTGCAGCCCAGTCCCTACGTGCGCAAGAAGGTGAGATGGTGGGACTCCTGGCACTTGCTCCTGCAGATACTGCCTGCTGTGTGCCATATAGTAGTAGATGCAGGGGTCAATCCCCTCTGACCCCTGTCTGAGGCCCCGGACCTCTGCAGGCTATTCTGACTGCAGTGCACATGATCCGGAAGGTCCCTGAACTCTCCAGCGTCTTCCTCCCACCCTGTGTCCACCTGCTTCACGAGCGTCACCATGGTAAGGCTGTGGGGCTCCCCATCCTTTGCTTCAGCTCTGTGGACAGAAGAATTGAAAATCGGATGGGAACACCAGCTCATAGGAGAAGGGTAGCGCACACACACAGGCACACACGCAATAGACTCTCTCGCCCCTGGCCCCCACCATTCACTTCCCCGACCCTGACCCCAGGCATCCTGCTGGGCACCATCACGCTGATCACGGAGCTCTGCGAACGAAGCCCTGCAGCCCTCAGGCACTTCCGAAAGGTGGGCTGGTGAAGGGGCAGGCCCTGGGCCTGAAGAGAGGGTCAGTGGGGAAGGAATGGGGCTTTAGCTGGAGAGGATTAGAACAAATGCCCAAAGTTGTGCCCTCCCTCCAGGTGGTACCCCAGCTGGTACAGATCCTCCGGACTCTGGTGACAACGGGATACTCCACAGAACACAGCATATCTGGAGTCAGCGACCCCTTCCTGCAGGTGGGGTGACCTTTCACTGCTGTATCCCTGGAACAGAGAGGGCATAGCAGTAAGACCATGACCAGTGGTCTCCTCCAAGAGAACACTGGCCCTCTCAGTGTCCTGGGCAGCAGAATAGCAGGCACAGGATTGCTCAGGTCATCCCAGGACCTGTGAGGGGAGAGAGAATGCCTAAAAGTCAGGAAAATACAGTTTGGTAACAATTTTTTTTTAAGCCTGTCCTAAACTCCCCTGGCCTCAGACACCTCTGTTCCCCTCCCAGGACCAAGGGACCTGTGGAGGTGAGGAGGTGTGGGGAGGATCTAGGGAGCGAGCCAGACCCTCACAGTGCTCTCCTCCATGTTAGAGTTTTCTCCTCAGCTCCATGACTCCTTATCCTATGAACCCCTTCACCTTTCAATTTTCAACCCAACCTCAGGTCCAGATACTTCGTCTGCTTCGGATCCTGGGCCGGAACCACGAGGAGAGCAGTGAGACCATGAATGACTTGCTGGCCCAGGTCGGGGCTGGGAGGAGGGCACTGGTTAGCTGTGTTGCTTGGAGACCCCACCAGCCCTGGGTGCCCCTCACTTGACTCCTCACTGTGCAGTGGCCATATCATTGCCTCTCCGTCTCCTCTAGACAGTGAACTCCACGAAGAAGGGACACAGTCTGTCTTAGTGCTATTGCCCCAGTGCCCAGGCTGGCCCTGGCACATAGTAGAGGCTAAGGGAACTTTGTTGGATGGTTGAAGGCTGGACAGATGACATGTTGGAGTCCTTCAAGAGACCTGAGGATTACCCGGGCTTGTTGGCATGTGCCTGTAGTCCCAACCACTCAGGAGCCTGAGGCAGGAGGATCACCTAAGCCTGGGAGGTCAAGGCTGCAGTGAGCTGTGGGCGACAGAGTGAGACCCTGTATCAAAAGAAACGGAGACCTGAGGAGGGCCCTGAGCAGATACATCTCCTCTCTCCTCCACTCAGGTGGCCACTAACACAGACACCAGCCGAAATGCCGGGAATGCGGTCCTGTTTGAGACAGTACTCACCATCATGGATATCCGCTCTGCAGCTGGCCTACGGGTATCATCCCTTATGCCTCTCCCACTATGGCCCCGCCCACCACCTCACCCACACAGGTCCTGCTTGCTGGTTTCTTCCTCCTAGCCCCATCATGTTGCGCCAATGTGTTCTCACTCCTCAATGGCTGAGCAGGTTGCTTCTTTCCTGGCTGACCCCAGCTTCTGCCTCTCATAGGTTCTAGCTGTCAACATTCTTGGCCGCTTCCTACTCAACAGTGACAGGAACATTAGGTAATAGTCCCAACTGTCTACCTAGGCTGTGCCACTGATCCCCTGGCCCTCTGCCCTCCTTCCTCCAGAGCTTCCTGATCCATTTCTCTCTTACCCCTATACTCAAGACAGGATGGGGAGTGGGGGCTGATGGCCATGGTGTGATAGAACCTCCCCCATCCTGACCAGGTATGTAGCCCTGACATCATTGCTTCGACTGGTGCAGTCTGATCACAGTGCTGTGCAGCGGCATCGGCCCACTGTGGTGGATTGTCTACAGGAAACTGATGCCTCCCTCAGCCGGTGAGCAGTGATACAGGGGACGGGAGGGCAGGGCAGAGGTTCCCAGTGCCTTGTGGCCAAGACTCGAGCCAGCTTAGAGCAGCTGGAGTAAGAGGACTAAGGGGGACAGGTCCCTGGGGAAGCAGAAGGGCTGAGGCATGGACCAGGATAACCTGGGCTACCTGCATGGAAACCTCTTTCTCCTGCCAGGAGGGCCCTGGAACTAAGCCTGGCTCTGGTAAATAGCTCCAATGTGCGAGCCATGATGCAAGAGCTGCAGGCCTTTCTGGAGTCCTGCCCGCCTGACCTACGGGCTGACTGTGCCTCAGGCATCCTGCTAGCTGCAGAAAGGTGAGGTGCCCAGGAGTCGAAGAGGGTAGAATCTGGGCAGGGTCAGTACCAGGACTGATGAGCCATATATCCCCTAGGTTTGCTCCCACCAAACGCTGGCACATAGACACCATCCTGCATGTGCTGACCACGGTGAGGCAGGGGCCAGTCAGAGAGCTGGGCAGAAGTGGTCAAGATTCACCACACTGACTTGGCCATGCCCACACCTTCCAGGCAGGCACCCATGTGCGGGATGATGCAGTGGCCAACCTGACCCAGCTGATTGGGGGGGCCCAGGAGCTACATGCCTACTCTGTGCGCCGCCTCTACAATGCCCTGGCAGAAGACATTTCCCAGGTATCATTCCCACCTACCCAGGCCCAGGGCTGCCCAACCACTCCCTTGCCCATCCTGGGCGGCCTCCTCCTTATACTAGATTCCAATTTTTCTCTCAAGATCACAGCTACCTACATAGTGCAGAAGACATCCAAGCACAGAGCCCTGTTTTTAAGAACATCTGGGCTTTTATCCTGACTCTGGTACCTCCTGGCTATGTAACTACAGATGACTAACTTCCCTTATGCTCCACGTACCCTGACTGCCTCTTAGAGCTGCCTTGAGATTAAAGCTCTTGTGTTTATGAGGTTTTATTATTACCTTGAATGCTGAATGAATTAACAGATGCCAGGCAGTATCTACAGCCCCCCTCTTCCATGTTAATTAAATAGGCTGGGCAGAAAACATCCACACCTTCCACAAGGGAGGGACCCTCTCACATTTCCATCCTGTGTGGTTAGGCCATGTAGTTCTGATGCTTGGCCACCAGAGGGCAGTGGGAGCCAGGTAACAAACTTCCCTTTCCCCACCCCTCCAACCCCCCTCCACCATCTCTGTACTGCCTAAAGGGATATTACCATGTCTGGAAGTGGGGAGAGGACCTCAGACACTGGCCCAGCAGTGTTTCTTTCTCTCTCTCTCTCTCTCTCTTTTTTTTTTTAATAGAGACGGGGGTCTCGCTATGTTGCCCAGGCTGGTCTTGAACTCCTGGTCTCAAGCGATCCTCCCGCCTCAGCCTCCCAATGTGCTGGGATTACAGGCGTGAGCCACCACGCCCGGCCAGCCCAGCAGTTTCTTATTCCATGTAGCAACCACTGGTGCAGGTGGCAGCCTGGTGCATTGGGGAATATGGGGACCTCCTGCTGGAGGGGAACTGTGAGGAGATTGAGCCCCTTCAGGTGAGACCTCACTGGGGGTACACTGAGGAGGGACTCGTCAGGGGGGCAGGACTTGCACCAGGGTCACTAACTGTATCCATGTCTGAAGGTGGACGAAGAGGAAGTACTGGCATTGCTGGAAAAGGTGCTGCAGTCCCATATGTCCCTGCCAGCCACTCGAGGATATGCCCTCACAGCCCTCATGAAACTCAGCACTCGCCTCCAAGGGGACAATAAGTAAGAAGGGGTCCCAGCCCCTTGAGAGATGGCCTTTCACTGGACCCACCCATTTCTGAGTTTCTTTCCAGGCATATATACCCAGCCCGCCCTAACCCCAAGCCCTTAGGTTCTTGTTTTTGAGCCAAATCTGGGTATTTCCCTGCTCCATGGGCCTTTCCTTCCTGCCACATCCTGCAGTGGCACACTGCCATTGCCACTTACATACTACACTGGCCCAGCCGCATCCGCCAGGTGGTGTCCATCTACAGGAGCTGCTTGGACGTGGAGCTGCAACAACGGGCTGTGGAGTATGACACACTCTTCCGGAAGTACGATCACATGAGGTGTGTCCAGCACTGTGCTGCAGCATGGGACCCAAACCCCTGCCCTCTCCCAAATGCCCTTTTGTAGGTACAAGGGCCTCATCCTCACCTGTGTTCCACATCCACGGTGAGAGCTTCCCACCCACTGTTAATTGAAGCTAAGCTGGCTTCCAACCCTCCTTGCTCATCTGAAAATCAGCAACAACATGTCATTTTAGGAAATCAGAAGGGAACTTCTGAGCCACCATGTGCCCAGGGCTCCATGTTCCTAGTCATCATTCTAGATGCCTCTTGTGAAAGGCCCAAAGACCACAGAGGCACACTTGCATTCCATCCTCTCAGGGCTGCCATCCTGGAAAAAATGCCTCTTGTGGAGCGAGATGGCCCTCAGGCTGATGAGGAAGCAAAGGAAAGCAAAGCAGCAGCCCAACTTTCAGAAGCAGCCCCAGCACCCACAGAGCCCCAGGTGAGGAGGCTGGAAACCCTGGGGTAGGAAGACGGGCTGAGCTTCATACCCAGCCCTGCCCCTTCTGTCCCTTCCGCCAGGCCTCACAGCTCCTGGATCTGCTAGATCTCCTGGATGGGGCTTCTGGGGATGCCCAGCATCCTCCCCCTCTGGACCCCTCCCCTGGAGGTGCCCTGGTATACCTGCTTGACCTTCCCTGTGCACCTCCATCCCCAGGTAAGCCTAAGCAAAAGGAAGATGTCTTAGAGAAGGTAGGTGGAAATGTGCTGCTTCTCCTAAGCCAAGGGCTGAGACTCATGGACCCTGCTTCTTCCTGTGTGTCCCCCATCCCATCCCCATCTCAGGAGGTAAAAGGATGAAGTCAGTCATGGTCACCTGTCTTCCCTTTGTTCCAGACTTCTTTCTCTGGCCTACAGGGCCCTGCTTCCTTCCCAGCCCTTCTTATACCACTTTCCCACTACCCACTGACTGCCCCCTTCTCAGCTCCTCACACCCTCCCACCCTTGGCATTTCATGTTCTTTTTTACATGGAATGTTCTTTCCCCAGCACATCGAATGACCAGCTCATTCTCACTCCAGGCTTCAGCTAAAATGTCAGATGCCTTCCCCTACCGCTCCTATTTAAGTCAGTTCTCCCCAGTTATTCTAGAATGACTTACTTCCTTCATAGCATCTATTATGGTCTGTAATTATCTTGCTTATTTTATTTTTATTTTTATTTTTTGAGACAGAGTCTCGCTCTGTCACCCAGGCTGGAGTGCAGTGGCGCAATCTCAGCTCACTGCAACCTCCGCCTCCCAGGTTGAAGCTATTCTTGTGTCTTAGCCTCCCAAGCAGCTGAAACTACAGGCACAACCCACCACACTCAAGCTAATTTTTTGCATTTTTAGTAGAGACAGGGTTTCACCATGTTGGCCAGGCTGGTCTCAAACTCCTGACCTCAGGGATCCACCCACCTCAGCCTCCCAAAGTGCTGGGATTACAGGCATCAGCCACCATGCCCGGCCCTTTTTTATTGTTTCTCTCCCCCATTAGACAGTAAGCTCCAGCCTCATCTTCATATCTACTTTGTTACTAGCCTCTCGAGTAGTGCAGGGCCAGTAGGTGTTCACTCAATTTTTGTTGAATGAACAAACATGTTCTCTCAAACCTGCACACTGAGCTGCCTCTGTCTCCCTACTCCAGCTCCCATCCCAGATCTCAAAGTGTTTGAGCGTGAGGGAGTACAGCTGAATCTGTCTTTCATTCGACCCCCTGAAAACCCTGCTTTGCTGTTAATCACCGCCACTGCCACCAACTCCTCAGAGGGTGATGTCACCGATTTCATCTGCCAGGCTGCTGTGCCCAAGGTTTGTAAAGATCAGGGTTCAGAGGTGGCCTGGGGACTCCAGGAGAAAAGGCCACTAAGTGGAGGTGGTGGGTGGGAGACAGTGTGAGATGCGATTGAGTCATCTGGAGATCAGCACTTGGGGAGTTACAGGAAAAGGGTGTGGAGCCACTGGGTGTAGAGGAGCTGCCTGCGCCCCACCTACTGCCATACTGTGCTCTGTTAAACTCCTGTGCTCAGAGTCTCCAGCTGCAGCTGCAGGCCCCCAGTGGGAACACAGTTCCAGCTCGGGGTGGCCTTCCTATCACCCAGCTCTTCAGAATCCTCAATCCTAACAAGGTGAGCTTCAGGAGACCCCCCCAAGACAAGACCCAGGGATAGGAGAAGTCATGGGTGCTAACCCTGGTCCCCGCTCTCCTATTCCTAGGCCCCCCTGCGGCTAAAGCTGCGCCTCACCTACAACCACTTTCACCAGTCAGTGCAGGAGATCTTTGAGGTGAACAACTTGCCTGTGGAATCGTGGCAGTAACTGTCTCCATCACAGCCTGAAATTCTCCTGTGTCCCAAACCCCAGGGGGCCCCAGCCGCTTGAAACCTACACCTGAGGGCTACCAGCAGGTGGCACTCTGGCTTTGCACTGCAAAAACTGGGGACCAGCCCCCTTCTCCCACAAATAAAGCCCAATAAAGCCTGAGAGGGGAGGAAAGCCATATTTGGGTATATTTGAAGTGGAAAATGTGTATGAATAACAGCAAGGGAAAAGCATTCTTACATAAGAATGCATCTTCCCCTGAACCTTGAGAACCTGTCTCAACACAGGGGATGGGGCGGCTGCTGGTTCTTTCTAACCCTCTTCAGGTCAGGGAACAAATTTGCCCCAAACTTCTACAGGCGGCACTCTACCCTGTGGGCCAGAGCTGGGCACAGTGTCAAAATCAGATTAGAATTTCTAGAGTTCTAACTGGGATTCCCAACCATTTCCTCAACTTGCTTCTATTTCCCACACCCCAAGGCAGGAAAATCCCTGCTGCCTCCCCTCATCGTCTAACTCAGCTGTAAGGCGGTTTAGGAGCTGCTGGCAGAATCAATGGCATCGACCAAGGGAGGGGGGTGGCAAGGGATTTTCCTGTGCTTAACTACTGATCACGGCTAAGTGGAAATCCTATAAACACGAGCGGAAATCAATGGAGGCTGCTTAGCGGCCAGGGGAGAGGGGCGGCCCACAGATTGCATCTGACGGATGAGGGAAGAAGCAGCAGCCAGGGAGGGCTCAAGGAAGAGTAGCTTAGAGTAGGGGGAAGAAACAGGCAGAGCTAGAGAGAGAGGAGTCACTGTCAGAAGGGACGCTGAGGGGAGAGGCACAGTGGGCCAGGAGTGGACTCCATTAGACCCAGAGTTCCCTTCCCATTCTAGGAAGTGACACCCCTAGCCCAGGCAGTTATCAGGATCTTCAGTCCCCTGTGGCCTCTGCTTGGAGCTGTTCACTTCTAGCAGGCGCTGATAGTCTTGAGGCCGGAAACGCTGTAGGTACACAATCAGCTTGGCTGGTGCTGTCTCCTGTGCAGGCACACCTACAGGTAAAAGGACAACGAGGAGAGAAATGGACAGAGCCACAAGCACTTTGACTCTGCTCCCTGGCCACCTAGCCAGGACCCATGGATGTTTCCAAAGCCACACTGGGGTTCTGAATGTCATCCACCCAGCTTCTATAACACACTAGTCCACTCCTTGCCTGCTTGTGGAACTGGGACCTAAAAGAGCAACTTCAGGCAAGAGTGGGACTAGAAGCCACACTTGAGCCTCTCCTCCAGCAAGGAGAAATGGCGAAGAGGCACCCAGGCACCAAGAAGACAAAGGATACCTCAACATCAGCTCATTTCAGTTATTACCCTGTCCCACAATCAAGATTAAAGCCCATCACAGGGCACAGGGGCTGACGTCTGTAATCCCAGCACTTTGGGAGGCCGAGACGGGCAGATCACGAGGTCAGGAGATAGAGACCATCCTGGCTAATGTGATGAAACCCTGTCTCTACTAAAAATACAAAAACTTAGCCGGGCGTGTTGGTGAGCACGTGTAGTCCCAGCTACTCGGGAGGCTGAGGCAGGAGAATGGCGTGAACCAGGGAGGAGGAGCTTGCAGTGAACTGAGATCGCACCACTGCACTCCAGCCTGGGGGACAGAGCAAGGCTCTGTCTCAAAGAAAAAAAAAAAAAAAAAGATTAAAGCCCATCTAGACCAGGCCAAAGCTCATAAGCTTAGTAATGAAGCACATGCAGAGATGTACAAATAGAAACCAAGAGCTATAGAAAGAAGAGGAGGGAAGCTATAGCCATGGGGTGGGATTCACATAGAGTTCTCACCTCTGCATCGTAAGGTGAGAATGGAATTGCTTATTGCTGGTGTCTGTTGTCAGTGCCTGACAGTGTGCTAGGCACGTAGCAAGGAACTCAGTGTATGTTTGCTGAGGGGGCTCAAACAGCACTGCAGGGCTGTAAGGCCCCATGGGGTGCAAAATTCCACACTAGTGTGAATGAACTGTCTACAAGGGAATTATGCTTGGGAACAAATCTACCAAATCATGCCCCACTGTCTCACATAACTATAATGTTATTGCCCTTTATGAAAAGCTGAAAGGACAAATTAAAAGGATCTAGGTAACTGTAAAACAAAAGGACAGAAGATTGGTTGGACTCGTGGTGTAGTGGGCAGTGCATCAGTCTCATGATCGGAAGATCCTGAGTCTGAGCCTGCCAGAGGGCAGCTTTTGTAAAAAGGCTTTTTACTCCTCCTTGTGGAGGAGTGGTGACTGAAGAAGAAAAAAAAAAAGATTGGGGGAAGGAAGAGTCAAAGCAGGGAACTGAGAAATGAAACTGAAGGAGATCTGGCTATAGGTATGAGAACTAAATGAGACAGGTTGGCTGGAATTAGACACATGGAAGGACTAAATCCAAATTAGCTACTGTTAAAGAGAAAATGAGATTCCACAGAACTGTAAGCAAACTTAGAAAATTGCTAAAACAATTCCCATTACAAAAATAATCCAGGCCAGGCGCAGAGGCTCACACCTGTAATCCCAGCACTTTGGAAGGCTGAGGCAGGCAAATTGCTTAAGGAGTTCCAGGCCAGCCTGGGCAATATGACAAAACCTCATCTCTATTTTAAAAAAAATATTTTAATCCAGAGGCCCTCCCCCACTACATGGTCCAGTGGGTGCCTCCAAAAGAGAGAAGTGGGGAGCAGGAAAAGCACAAAAGGGCCTGTCTCTCTCACCAAGCATGCTGCTGAGCCTGTGGATCTTCTCTAGGGCAGCTGGTACTTCAGCCTCCTCATGCACCAAGGCCTCTACCTCACCCACAGCATAGCCAAAGTCGGCTGTATCCAAGTCCACCCTGAGCTGTGGCTCCTCTTCATCAGTTCCCAAGAGTACCAGTTTCCAGGCACTCCGCTTAGTCACAAAACTAGCTACTTCCTGCAGCCCCAATGGGCCCAGGACAGCAGCCACATCTCCAGCCCCCAGGCCGTCAGCCCCCAGCACCTTACAGAGCTGGGCCACAATTGTAGGTTCCGCTGTGAGTTCCTTATACTCCGTGTGGTGTCCTAAGACACCTGCTGCTCCAGGACATTTGAGCTCCCATCCACTATCCTCTCGTCGTCGCAGCCAGTGGTCAGCCTGCATGAGGCTCAGCTCAGGGGTGTCATAGTAGGTGTCTCGGAAGGTGACCCGGTGCTCCAGGGTGCCCCCCAACTCCTGCAGCCGCTCCTCTGTGCCAGGCCCTGGAAGGAACTTTCGCTCCACCTCTATCAAGCCCTGGGCCATGCTACCTGCAATTGGTTGAACAAACGTTTGCTGAGTTCCCAAGGATGCAAAGCCTCATGCTCAGCTCCTGGGGAGTCAACTCAGTACAGACCCCCTCCCTGGAAGAACTTATGAGGGGCACACTGTGTCGCAATAGTCTCTAGGGCTACTGCCCTTTTCCCTCTACCTCGGTGACATTAAGGCCCTGTCGGTCGTATTTTAACGTTCTGACAGTGACAGGTCTCCAGTAAAATCCCTTCCACTGCTGCTGATGTCCTCAATCCAAAGAGCCCCCTAGAAAGCAGGCTGGGTAGCGGGTATCCTTTCAACGCCCCCCTCTCTACACCCTCCCACCCCAGGAGGCTAGTGGCTCACGACCCGGGATGACCTGCCCTTTCCTGCTACACTACTGGCCAGCGGAACCTCAGGTCTCACCTCAAAGCCCGAGAGTCTCCTCGCGGGACCCAGAGAGGGGGAAGGGAGCCCACGCCATACACCCGCGAGGAATGCCGGGAGCAGTTCCTGATCCCGGACCTCGTCCCGACCCTCCGCAGGCCCGGCAGGTCCCGGCACCAGCGGCCATATTAGGTCCGTTGTGACGGTGCCGAGAGCAGGCCAGGGCTCGAGAGACACGCTATGTAATGGGAGGCCGCGACCCCCGCGGTGGCCAGGGGAGCGAGGCCCCCCCCTGGCGCTCTGCTCCTCATTGTCTGCCCCGCACGGCTCCCGGGGGTTGGTACAGGTCTCAGACCAGAGGCTGAGCCAGGCACCGTGGGGCGCGGATGCATGATGGGAGATGTAGTTCCAAAGGGAGACTTTGCCCTCTCGCCCCGTCCGTCGCTATGGTGACAGGAAAGCTGCAATTGGTTCTTGCGGTACTCTGCCTAAAGCTGAACTGGGGCTACAGGGCGGCGGGGAGAGTTGAGTGCAAGGAGCTCAAGCCCCAGTCCCATCTCCAACACCCACCCGCCCCACCCCCAACGCAGGCAGATGGGCCTGGAATACAAGCCATTCACACTGTCCAGCAGATATCTGCTATAGCAGCCAGTTAAGTGCAGGCCAGTGGCAATGGTGGCGGGTGGCGGGTGGCGGGGGTTTGGGGGAGGGAAGGGAGCAGGGGGCAGCGCGTAATAAAGTCCAGTTTAGCTACTCTGGAGTTTTAGAGGAGATCTAATACCTCCTGGCATGAACGTTCAGGGTAGGAGTGGGTGAGAAACTTTCTGTCAGAGAATAAAGTGATATTTGGCCAGGAACTAAAGATATGATGGAATTTCAACAGTTGGAGACCTGGATGGAGGCAGGATTAGCCTAAGCAAAGGCCCAGAAACTGGAGAGCACCTGGGTGGTATGTAAGTAGAAGACGAGGCTAGAAATGCAGTTGAAGAAAAAGCCTTGAGTGCTAGACTGAGGAGTTTGTGTCAGTTTCCAGAGGTCCCTAAGCAGTTTTTGTCAGGTGTGGAACTACTTATGTTCATTTAGAATACAGAAAGGCCGGTGCAGTTGCTCACACCTGCAATCCCAGCACTTTGGGAAGCCGAGGCCGGTGAATCACCTGAGGTAAGGAGTTCGAGACCAGCCTGGCCAACATGGAGAAACCCCCGTCTCTACTAGAAATGCAAAAATGAGCCAGGCATGGTGGCGCATGCCTGTGTTCCCAGCTACTTCAGAGGCTGAGGCATGAGAATTGCTTGAACCAGGGAGGCAGAGGTTGCAGTGAGCTGAGATGGCGCCACTGCACTCCAGCCTGGGCGACAGAATGAGACACCATCTCTCCCCCAAAAAATAAAATTCAGGAACACATGGGGTTTGACCCTTTGAATGCTTTGGGAGACAAAATATTAATAGAGATGATTCCTTCTTACTCCCTCTGAGGATTATGGTTATCTGGAGACTCTAATTATATGTCTGACCTTCCATGTGAGGAAGCACCCTGAGGAACTGTGGCTCTTAACTCCTGGACTTCTTCCTATGATGGGTGAGAAGTGCCATGTTCTCAACACCTGCCCTCTCACCAGTATGTTTTTGGAAACACATGACCAGTGAGAGGTATTATAAGGAGAAGGACACTGGTTTAAAGACATGGCATTTTGGCCAAGTGCGTTGGCTCACACCTGTAATCCTACCGCTTTGGGAGGTCGAGGCAGGAGGATCACTTGAGGCCAGGAGTTTGAGACCAGCCTGGGCAACATAGCAAGACCCTGTTTCTAAAAAAAAAAAAAAATTTTTTTTTTAGTTAGCTGTGTGTGGTAGCGCATGCCTGTGGTCCCAGCTGCTCAGGAGGTTGAAGCAGGGGGATAGCTTGAGCCCAGGAGGTCAAGGGCAATGAGCTATGATCCTGCTACTGCCTGTACTCAGCAACAGAGCAAGACCCTGTGTAAAAATAAATAAACAAATGGCATCTTGGACTTGGGATAGCTTGGGTGAACCCCTGGCCCCACTCCATGTTAAGCACCATTGGTTAGGGAGGGAAGCAACCCCAGCTCCTAGGGCCTGCTTTTCATCCATCTTTTGCTTTCCAGTTTTGCTAACCTGGGATGAAGACCTAATTTTTCCTTGTGTTATAAGGTCCAATCCAGTGGGGTAAAAGCTGCAGCTTATTTGAACAGAAAGATCAGTTTCCGGAGCCAGACCTGGGGTTGACTCCCAGCTTCACTTTCTAGATGTTTGGCCATCGGCAAGCTACTCCACTTCCCTAAGCATCTGCTTTTTCTTTTTTTTTTTTTGAGACTGAGTCTCACTCTGGCATCTCAGCTCTCTGCAACCTCTGCCTCCCAGGTTCAAGTGATTCTTCTGCCTCAGCCTCCTGAGTAGTTGGGACTACAGGCACATGCCACCACACCTGCCTAATTTTTGTTTTTTATTTGTTTGTTTTTGTTTTTGAGATGGAGTTTCACTCTTGTTGCCCAGGCTGGAGTGCAATGGTGTGATCTTGGTTCACCGCAACCTCTGCCTCCCGGGTTCAAGGAATTATTCTATGTCAGCCTCCCAAATAGCTGGGATTACAGGTGCGTGCCACCACGCCCAGATAATTTTGTATTTTTAGTAGAGACAGGGTTTCTCCATGTTGGTCAGGCTGGTCTTGAACTCCTGACCTCAGGTGATCCACCCGCCTTGGCCTCCCAAAGTGCTGGGATTACAGGCGTGAGCCACCACACTCAGCCAGCCTCTGCTTTTTCGTTGAGAAAATGTGGTCTGCCCCACAGTTACCTATGAGGATTCAGTCATAAACTGTTACATAGTATAAACTCAAAATGTTCATTTCTTTCTCATTTTTGTCATGTGAACTTCAGGGTTTTGTTGTGTTGTTTAAGAGAAATAGGCTATAGCAGTTAGTGTGGGCTCTGGACCCAGACCATGGAGGTTTTTGAATCCTGGTCCTGTCACTTACTTATTGGCCATTGGACCTTGGGCCTGTTAATTCACTTATTTGTGCCTTAGTTTCCTCAACTGTAAAATGGGACTATAATAGTATCTACCTCATGGGATTGAGAGGACTAGACAATATATGTAAAAGTGCTTGAAACTGTCCCTGTGCATTCAAGAAATCTTAGAAATTATTGTTATTAGAATACGGGAGCGGCCGGGCGAGATGGCTTACGCCTATAATCCCAGCACTTTGGGAGGCTGAGGCTGGTGGATCACCTGAGGTCAGGAGTTCCAGACCAGCCTGGCTAAGATGGTGAAACCCCCATCTCTACTAAAAATACAAAATCAGCAGGGCATGGTGACGGGCACCTATATAATCCCAGCTACTTGGGAGGCTGAGGCAGGAGAATCACTTGAACCTGGGAGGCGAAGGTTGCAGTGAGCTGGGATCATGCCACTGCACTGCAGCCTGGGCGACAGAGTGACTCTGTCTCAAAAAACAACAACAACAAACAGGCCGGACGCAGCGGTGGCTCACACCTGTAATCCCAGCACTTTGGGAGGCCGAGGCAGGCGGATCACAAGGTCAGGAGTTGGAGACCAGCCTGACCAACATGGTGAAACCCCGTCTCTACTAAAAATACAAAAATTAGCTGGGTGTGGTGGTGCTTGCCTGTAATCCCAGCTACTTAGGAGGCTGAGGCAGGAGAATCGCTTGAACCCAGTGGTGGAGGTTGCAGTGAGCCGAGATCGCGCCACTGCACTCCAACCTGGGCGACTGAACGAGACTCCATCTCAACAACAACAAAAAAATAAAAAATAAAAAAAATTGCAGGAACACTTAATGAGCTGATAAACTGAAGATGAGGAGGAGGAGCCCGAACCTCCCACTACCCAGCTCAGGGGACTATGTAACCGCGTGGAGGAGGCAGAAGCTCTCAGAGACTAAAGAGTAATTGCTGCGGTAGAAAAGGTTCTAGTACCCAATAGGAGAGCGGGGGAATAATAAGGCAGGAAGAAGGGAATGAAAAAAAGGAGGCCTTGGGCGGCTCAGGGTTTGTTCTGTAGCTGATTTAAAACAAAACAACAAAACACATGTATGGTTTCTGCAGACCACAGGATGAAGAAGAGAGGAGACGAAAAAGAGTTTAAAGGGGCCTGCCCTCTTTGCAAGCACCGGCTTGAACTTGGAGCCAGAGTCGAGGAGGCGACCTGGTGGGCTGGCCGGCCTGCCCCCCGGCCCTGGGTCCCGCGAGGCGGGCGGGCGCGAACAGACTACAACTCCCGGCATGCGCCGCGGCGGGCGGGTCGCTGCACCTGCTCAGTGGGGCCGCCCCGGGCGCCTGGGTATTGATTATTCCATTGTGTGGGACGCCTCGACTCCAGCCAGTGAATGAGGCGGAGGAGTGAGGAGGAGGAGGAGGAGGAGAAGGAGGAGGAGGAGGAGGAGGAGGCAGGGAGCGAGCGAGTGCCCAGGGTGAATCAATGGAAACCCCCTCACGAAGCCGGGGAAACACTTCAGCCGCAGCCAAATAGCATTGATTATTTTCCTTCACTTCCCTCACCGCCGTGAATTTATTTATTTATTTTTTCCATCTCCGTCCCCGACGCCCCGGAGCGAGCGCTGGAGGGAGGGAGGAGGAGGGGAAAAAAGAGGAAT